GATGCATTAACAGGAGTGTTGTGAGCAAGACACAAGGAGTCATTCTTCCACTCTACTCTGCACTGATTAGGCCTCAGTTGGAGTATTGTGTCCATTTCTGGGCACCACATTTGAAGAAAGATGTGGAGAAACTGGAGAAGGTCCAGAGATGATCAACAAGAATGATTAAAGGTCTAGAGGACATGAGCTATGTGGCAAGGCTGAAAGAATTGGGCGTGTTTAGTTTGGAAAAGAGAAGACTGAGAGGGGGTATGATAGCCGTTTTCAGGTATCTAAAAGGGGGTCACAAGGAGAGGAGAGGGGAAAATTGTTCTCCTTAGCCTCTGGTGATAGGACAAGAAGCAATGGGCTTAAACTGCAGCAAGGGAGGCTTAGTTTGGACATTAGGAAAAATTTCCTAACTGTCAGGGGGGTTAAACACTGGAATAAATTGCTTAGGGGGGTTGTGGAATCTCCATCTCTGGAGATATTCAAGAGCAGGTTTTACAGACATCTATCAGGTATGATATAAACCGTGACTGGTCCTGCCATGAGGGCAGGGGACTGGACTTGATGATCTCTCGAGGTCCCTTGCAGTTCTAGTATTCTGTGTATTCTATCCTGGAGGTTTGCCTCCTTGCCCTAGACCTCAATGAAGTCTAGGATCTCTGCACCAGTCCAGTAAGGTGCATGTAGGGTTGCCAGATGGTTTCAACAAAAGTACCGGACACACTTGACATTACATCACAATCTACATTACACCTTATTTAGAAAATACCAGACATTTATGTTTTCTAATTTATATTTTCTCAATTTGTTTCCTGAAAAGAAAGCTCAAATACTGGACTGTCTGGTTCAAAACTGGACACCTGGCATCCCTGGGTGCATGCCTCTTGGGAACTGTCTGACTGCTCCCTGGGAGCAGTGCAGAGTTGGGTGGGAGCTGCAGACTGGCTCATTTTTCCAAATTTGTGGCAGCTGCTGGGTGGCTCAGGGCTGTCAGGGCCTCCTCTGTGCCACAAGCCCTTCCCCTGAGATTGCAGCTTTAAGAGCTCCAGGGAAAGGAGGATTTTAGGGTATGTCTACACTACCACCCTAGTTCGAACTAGGGTGGTAATGTAGTCAACCGGAGTTGCAAATGAAGCCCGGGATTTGAATTTCCCGGGCTTCATTTGCATAAAGCCAGGCGCCGCCATTTTTGCGGCACGGAGTAGGTAGTTCGGACTAGGCTTCCTAGTCCGAACTACCGTTACTCCTCGTTTCACTTCCTAGTCCGAACTACCTAGTCCGTGCCGCGTGTAGCCGCACGGCATGGAGTCCACACTAGCGGACATTTAAAAATGGTGGCGCCCGGCTTTATGCAAATGAAGCCCGGGAAATTCAAATCACGGGCTTCATTTGCAACTCCGAGTAGGTAGTTCGGACTAGGCTTCCTAGTCCGAACTACCGTTACTCCTCGTTTCACTTCCTAGTCCGAACTACCTAGTCCGTGCCGCGTGTAGCCGCACGGCATGGAGTCCACACTAGCGGACATTTAAAAATGGTGGCGCCCGGCTTTATGCAAATGAAGCCCGGGAAATTCAAATCACGGGCTTCATTTGCAACTCCGTATGACTACAATTAACCACCCTAGTTCAAACTAGGGTGGTGGTGTAGACCTACCCACAGAGACTGACTGAGTGTAGACAGAGTTGGCAGCAGGACACCGTGGGAAGGGCTAATCTTACACAACCCCTATTTCCAAATAGCTGTTTTGGAAAAGACATTATCTGGCATAGAATGAAGTTTACCAACACCAAAATAAGATGCCCATTATGTTAAAATAATTTCAAAATAACGCTATTGCTGTATAGATACTCGCATAGGGTATGTCTACACTACAGTGTTATTTCAAATTTACTTAATTCAAAATAGTTAATTCAAATTAAGCTAATTCGAAATAATGCATCTATACACAAAAACTATTTCGAAATAGTGTTTTGCTATTTCGAAATAGCACGTCCACACTGAGTGGACCCTGAACCGAAGTTAAGGCTGTCCGGAACCAGTGCCGGCAGGGCATCAGGTTAAGACTTAGTGTGTGGGACTGCTGCCTGAGGCTAACTGAGCTCCCTACTTAAGGGGACCCTACCCCCAACCCAGACAGACAGTTCTCAGGGTACCCCGCTTGCTTGTCTACCTCGATGAGGGACAGCAAAGCAGTCCTGTCTTGGAGTGCCCTGAGTGCCCGCACTCGGGACACCACAGCGCTCGGCCACATGGAGCCAGAACTGCCCCTGCGCACGCCGGTGCAACTCGTGGGGTCATTGCCATCAGCCCTGTTGCACTTGCTGCAGGCTGCCATCCAGGGGGTCTGTTGGGGGACTGTCAGGATCCAGGAGTCCCTGTGGGAGAGCGTCCACCCCGAGGAGCCCTCAGAGCCTCCCCAGTCCTCCCCACTAGGGGCTCGTGCCCCATTCCTCCCTCACGTCCTTCCACTTATCCCTCCCTAGCCCTCCTTCCTGATGTCAAATAAAAGACACGTATGTTCAAAAATAGAAACCGGGTTTATTGAACAAAACTAGGGTGGGGGATGAACCTCTGGGGAGACTGGGAAAAGGAGGTGGGAGAGGGGATGAGAGAGGATGGGAGAGGGGTGGGAGAAACCTGGGAGGAGGGATCTGGAAGGAGGAAGCAAGGGGAATAAGAGGGAGGGGAAGCTCAGAGCTCAGGGTTGGGGGTCTCGCTGGACCAACCTTCCATGCAAACCTGCTCCTGGGTTCACATGTGACCTTTGGTGGCCAGGCGGGCAGCTATCCTACCATAGGCGGTCGGTCGTGTTCCTCCATCTAGGGCTGAGATCATGGAAATTGGGGGCATCCCCCCCAAACTTGAATAAGGTCCATGATCTCCACCCTGGACCAGGAAGGCGCCCACCTTCTCCAGCCCCTGTCAGGCTCCTGAGAGCTGGCAGACTGCTCCTGGGGAGCGGTGGAGGGCTGGCTGCCAGTGGCTTGCTGGCTCATGTTTTGAGGCCACTGGATCAGGGGCCCTGGTGGCCACTGCTGGCTCTGGGCTGGCAGGCTTGGAGCTGGCACAGTTACTGTGGCCAGGGTCTACCCCTTTAATGGTTCCGGGGCTGGGGGAGAGGAGAGTAAGTTTTCCTGGTTGTGCCCAGAGTGGCCACCAGGGCTCCCTGGGAAGGGCTGGAGGCCCCCTTTTTCGAATTAAGTGTCTACACAGCACTTAATTCGAAGTAGCTATTTTGAATTTGGTGTTACTCCTCGTAGAATGAGGTTTACCAAATTTGAAACATGGGCTCCACTATTTCGAATTTATTTCGAAATAGCGGTTTGCGTGTATAGATGCTATTAAAGTTAATTCAAAATAACTGCTGTTATTTTGAATTAACTTTGTAGTGTAGACATACCCATACACAATCCCCCCACAGTGAAGAAAATAAATTTTTCACTAACTAAAGAGAGTGGGATCAGGCCCTAATACATATCATTAACCAGAAAACATGGTGCATGTGGACTTATTGGCTTTGTCTACACTGCAGGCGCGTTCTTGCTCAAGTAAATTTACAGTAAACCGTTGGAACAGAGGACTTTTTGCACATGAGTTATTCCTCCCCCCCCGAGTGGAATAAGCCCTCTTGCGCAAGAGCTCTTGTGCAAGAAGGCAGTGTGGACAGGCAACGGGTTTCTTGCACAAGAAACGTCTATGGCTAAAATGGCCATCAGAGCTTCCTTGCACAAGAGAGTGTCAACATGGCCATGGATGCGCAAGAAACTTGCAGTGTAGACATAGCCTAAAGTTTTCCTCAATTTTATTTTTGAATGCAGTTATTTTTGTACATAATTCTACGAGCCTCAGTGTTTTCCAGTCTAAAAGGGAAAAGGGAACACATTTTTAGAAATAATTCGATTTAACTGGTGGTATCTGATTATTGTCTTTCATTTCATTGTAGTTAAAAGAGGCAAGAAAAAAACAATATGTTTAAGGAGGAAATAAGTAATACAAATAAAAGAAGAGAGGCAGCGTGGGCTAGTGGTAGATCACTGATTTAAGACTTAGAGCATCTGGCTTTTATTCCCAGCTCTACCATCAGCCTACTGTGTAACCTTAGACAAGTCACTTTGCTGCTCTATGCCTCAGTTTCTTCATCTATAAAATGACAATAATGATTCTGCTCTCCTTTGAACAGCACTTTGAGAGCTACCATGAGTAACACTATATGAAAGCTTTATTATTATTCTTATTTAGAGTTATGATGTAAATAAAAAGGGTTGTAATAGTGACTGCAAAATATCAAAAATAATTATTTGCATTGGGATTATAAATACCATCAAAACAATGGGAAACATCATGCTGTCATGTGACAAGATGACATTATGCAGGCCTGACATTTACCAAAGTGCATTATTTTTTATTGCATTTGCTATGTCTGCTGATGTTCTTTTCTAAAACAAAGGTAACGGCTGAAGAAACAGAAAAAGCATCTCAATTTTATTTTTAACAGATTGAGATTCAGTGTTATAAACAGCTTTCCCCCTGAAAGCCAAGTTTATGAAGTAGCAATAGAGATGTGAAAGTTCCCTACCATCATGTTCTGAAGGAAATTATAAGGCAGAAAAGCCATAGGGAGAAGAAGATGAAATTATATTATCTCATGGCAGTGTGATCCAGACCTAATTATTGTTTGTCCTTTGTGGCTATCGCAAGTGTTGATAAATACAATTATTTTGTTTGCTTTCCCTTCACTAATACTTAAGGCTCAGGCTAGTTAATGGAAGAAATAATACATTTCAGTCTTATATTAGTGACAAGAGATATGTCAGCTGATCATACCAACTCTTGTGCCACAGGTAGTGCTGACTACACATTAAGCAGTCATTGAAATTCAGTAGTAAGTACTAGCAAGTTTTACCCAAAGAAGCTGACATTGGAAGTGGATGAGATAGAAATTCAAAGTAGGGACTAGGTAAGTGTAAAGGATGAAATTCTAGAGGCTAAAGTATCTGTTTGTCTTTTTGCAGGGACGCCCAGAGTTTGTATCCACCTGAAGTTAGTAATGCAAAGCTTCAATACGCTGGATGGGGTCCAAAGGGGCAACAACTGGTAAGATAGCACATGCATGCAAATGAGTTTTTACAAACACATACTGTTCTAATTTTAAAAAAATAATTAAAAATGCATATTGTGCAAACTCACCTCATTTCTAGAACCATCTTTAACTGGTTGATTTCTTACAAACAACATGGAAAATATATGTCTGGAGCATTTATAGTATATTGTCCCCATATTATTTAAATCCTAAGTCATCTCTGAATGTGGTGACCCCAACTTTTTAGCACACACCCAACTTGTACATGTAGGACACTCAGTGCAAGGGGATGTATTGCCATTTTGGGCCGGCACATACCATTGCTCATGTGCCCAATATCAAAACATGTTTGTACAGCACTGCACAGTGAAGCCACGATCCCCTCAGCACTGTAATGTATTTGCAGTGCAGATAATTAATAATATTTGGTGTTCTGTGGGCACTGCTGCCAAAGCTTTGTTCCCCATTTATCTACTATAAATTGTCTCCTTTTGTGCTGGCTTTGCCTTACTCTGCTCCATGCCCTGCCTCCAGTCCCTCCTGTTGATCAGTCCTTCATGTTTCTGAAAGGGAAAACATGTATAGGGATTATTTTTAATGATAACAAATATTATGTAGTAGTATTCTACAGTAGGAAACTCAATAGATTTAGTGCAAGCTGCTGATTAGGCAAAATCTAGAAAAGTAGCATTTTCTTGGTAGTGACTTGAGATCCTGAATTTGATTCTCCTGTTGTCGGGAGAATCAAATCAGGAGAATTCTCCTGTTGTCACAAGTCTGCCAATATATTTTGGGGGAAACATCACTTCTTTATGAGAGGTTTCTGTTTCCGTAGTGTGTCCCCTGATTTGCAACACTGTAATTTGGCAGAGTCGGAAGAGGACATCATCCTCTGGAGTAGCAGGGAAATGATAGTTTAAGACTAATAGTTTAAGATTGACAGAGCTTTGTAGAGATGAGAGATGTGTACACAGCAGCTTCCCCAGACTGACTCTGGATTTGCATCGGGATGCTTGTGAAATGGACAAATGTAGACCTGGGGGTGTTTTGTTTACAAAATTGTCATGGTCTCTTCAGGCTAATGCAGGTTTCCACACCATGAAAGTTGTGCAATCTCAGCTATGTCAGCTCACAGCTCCTGCGAGGTTGGGATTGTCCTTGCTTAAAGCAAGAATCCCTGCCCTCATTTCCTGTTGCAAATCTAGTATCTCAGCTGCTGACTTTCACTTTCTCTCAGAAGGCACAATGAAATGGTGGCAGCCACAGAGTCTGTGAACCAGGTAGTTAAGCCATGATGTTTTTGCTTTTATAGAAAACCTGTTTTAAGATTTGCTTGCAGGCTGGTAGACTTTCTTTGTGGAAGGGGGGAGGAGGAAGCCATGAAAGTTTGTCCAGAGAATTCATCACCTTTCATTTAAATTGTACTTTCCTGGAGAAAGTGGCTGTAGCCAGTTCTAAGGGATTATCATCTGCTAGAGCCATTTGTGTGACTGCATGTTCAAATGGACTTGTACACTGAAAATTAATCTTGAAAACTGACCAGGGAAACCACACTTGTTTTTCTCTAGTCTCAAGAAACATTCTCACAGGCTAGCTGTCAAAATGTTCAGCATGTGGCATTACTATGTTCTGGTTTCCAACACACCAAAGGAGCCTTACACATGCTTCTGTGGTTCATGACAAGGAAATGGTAGTGGCTGCCATTCCTGACACCTAACTCCCCTCTTCAACATTGTTGCTTGTAGGAGTCACAGGAATGATACTTGTCTTCTACTTCACCAGAAAAGTTAGCCTTGATGCAGTGGCAGACCAGTAGCTACTGCACAAATAACAACAGTACTGATACATGGGTTTCCATACATGTGAAAAATGGTTTGTAGAAGATTCCTTTTGTTACTGCACACCCTTCTCTCACTCCATCTTCAAGCAGTGAAAGTGAGTAATAGTGGGGAAGAGTGAACAACGGAGGGAGAGGGGATGGAGTGGATGGGATGGACGTGTAGAGAAGGGGTAGACCAAGGAATTCTGGCTTTGTTCATTTAGAAAGCTGGCAACTCTAAGAGCAGGGGTGGGCAATAATTTTTGATGGAGGGGGCACTCCAAGATTTTGGAAAGTGTTCAAGGGTTGCACTCTTCCATGATATTAATGGAGGAGATGCGGGGTCTGGAATGGAGGCTGGGTGCAGAAGGGAACTTAGGGTAAGGCACCGGGGTGCAGGAGGGAGTTGGGATGAAGCAGGCGGTTATGACCTAGGGCAGAGGATTGGACTGCAGGGGTTTGGGATGTGACCTAGGGTAGGAGGGGATTGTGATCTGGGGCAGGAGATTAGGGTGCCAGATCTGGGAGGGGTATGGGTGTAAGAGGGGGATAGATGGTTG